TACAAGACTCACAGGTTACCTGCAAGTACAGGAGAAACTGGGCCCCGTGTTTCTCGTCATTTATACCAGTTGATCTCACGTCAGGGAAACATTGCAACATCATCATCATCATCATCATCATCATGCAGGATTTTCTTACAAACCAAATCACATATTCCGAAGCTTGTCTTGTAACGCACAGCGAAAGTGTATGTACATAAACAGCCTGCTTACACTTATGATAAAGGCAGCTAAGTTAAGGTTACCAGCTAGCGGAATGCCAATCCCAAAATAGGATGGCTGGCTAAAATATGCTAGCCAGCTTGTAGCTAGCATGCTACTTCTTCCTGATCCGAGTCCCACTAGTTCAGAGGCAGCGGCTAGCATGCTAGCAGGAAGCTAACGATAGCGCTAGCAAGTGGTCATCTTCTTTGCAATTTCCGCACAATAGTACTGACAGCTCGGTAAAACATGGCGCTGCGGTTCATCACAAAGTGTCACTGAGGGCAAGTGTACGCTCAGAAGGAGTACTCACCTCTGTTCGGTGTTTATTTGTTATAAAACTCAAGTTTCTCCGCTGTCACAGGCTTGATTTGTCTCACTTACAGGTCTTTTCCTACCTCTCGGATCATACCACTGTACTCCGCGGGGGTGTGTTATAAACAGGTCGTTATAGTGGTCGTTATGTTCGTTCGCTTTATACACTTGTAAAGTGTTTTTGAGTTGTATTATATTTTAAACAATATATTATATAGCTCTATATCCTTGTGAAATGAGCACAGAAAGCACACGGACCTAATTCAAAGGCATATCCTTATATCAATGGTATCGCCTTAAAACTACGGAAACCTCTGAGGAATTGATCATTAAAAAATAACCGCAAGAAGACGAAAATGAAAGGACGTTTCAAAACAATGAACGACATTTATCCACGCAGTGAACTCTTAAGTACGAGGTTTATTTCAGATAGAAGTGAATGAACATTTAGTCATGTAGATATAATATCAGGAACATATTCTCTGTGGTTGTTATGAACCTATGAAGCTTTTTTTTTTGGATAGAATCCATGAATGGTTGGTTACAAACATAGATAGACTGTAACTATTAAGGTTAGAAATCCTTTTTTTGTGTATCATTCGGATTATATTTTAATTGTTTTCTTCATTCCACTGTTACTCTCTTAATCATTATATCTTACATAAATAAAATGTTTAACCACTAATCAAAATTTGAACCTCACAAATAATAAATTGGCAAAAACAATAAGACATTTTAATTTGTACCCCCCAAAATAGCTGACCGTCCCCGTTGTTTTACTCAGTTCTTTATTGTTATTTCATATTGATATTTGTTGTAAAGTGTTGTTATTCACAATTTGTATTGTTTTTTTACGTGTTTTTGTTACTGAATTTTGATCAAATAAAGTAAAAAAAAAAACTTAAATAAATAAATGATAGTAAAATAAATATCTGTATGGGTTTCCCTTTCTCGTTTTTTATATTCCATTTTATTAAATAAATAAAATAAATAAAAATTCTAAAATGTTGCAGTTAGAATTGAAAAAAAACAACCAATGAGAATCTTCCTGCCTAACGTTCGTGACGTCAGCTTGTATTTGAATAACGCGCACGTTACACGTTTATTTTAATATTTTATTATCAGCTGAATTTACTGTAATTACCGTGAACATCTTCACGTCCAACAACAGGTAAAACATAATTAAACAAGTTGCGGTATAAAAAAACAAGGCTAGTTAGGAAGCTAACTGCTTATTAAGAATACTTTAATAAGTTAACAGTTAGCATGTTAGGATGTTAGCTAGCTAAAATAGTGGATACTTTGACCGAAAGCATTCATTGATCGGTTTTCCTGAAAATATTTTAATATGCTGTAATAAGAATGGTATGTAAGTAGTTGACAAGAGTCAAAATAGTATTTTTTTTATCTAACAAAAAGTTATCTTCGCTTTTCTGACTTGACCGGTGTTATATAGAATATTGCTACCCATCGAGATCGTAGACTGTAAATAATGTAAACTGTCTATGATCGAGATGTGCTGCGCAAACTTCAATATTTACAGTCTATTGTGCATACAGGTGTTCTGTCAAGATGTTATTATTGGTACCCATCGAGAGGTGCTGTGCAGACCTTAATATTTACAGTCTATGGTACAGACCGGTGTTATGTCGAGATGTGGTGCCTTGTCGAAAAATGCTTCCATCCAACGATAGCAGAGGCTATCCGTATCCCCTATCAAATAACGCTATCAAAACAAAAATAAACTCATATTATACCACTACTCACTCCACATGCATTGTCGGAGTATGGGGAGCACGTTTTTGTTCTCTATTATTGAAGATTTCAGGGGAAGCCTATCTTAATAATCTCTCTCAAATAATGCAGTATAATAACTTTAAAACACCTCTACTCGCTACAATGGCACTGTAATGAAATGGGAAGCATGTTTTGATACTATTTAATAAAACATTTTAAGATTTTATAAGAGGAGGCATTTCCTTGATAGATAAAAAGCCCCTATCATTTAATGTTAACTGCACAGAGCCGCATGGTATAGGAAATCTCGATGGGCAGCAGTAATCGACAGAACACCTGTTGATTGAGTTATCCAAGGAGGGTGGTGGATAACAAGAAAAACAATGATAGCCTATGATACATTTTCCTTAAAAGGAAGTTCACACAAAGCAGCACTCGTGCCTGATTGTAAACAAACCTCACCCACTCCTCCTTTACTCAGTAAGTCAAAGTAGAGAAATACGTGGAAATAGAGAACTTCTTGTTCTTGACAAAGTCAAGGAATAGGTTGAGTCATCAGGCCTGACTGACTCATTCAGTTTATAATTTATCAAGTCAATCTATGATTCGTTTCAGCTCAACTTTATTTATATAGCACTAAAAGCCTTCAGACAAGAAACAACAACAGAAATTGACAACATTAGATAAAATCAGCCAAGACAGGAAAGATGGTGATCAGGGACGGTGAGTAGGAATCAATACATTTCAGTCAGTGAAAGTTGGATGAGACAAAATAAATACCAGAGATGAACTATCAAATGTAAAAACAATGGTTGACTTTTAAAAGCACCCAGAGAGCTCGCCATTTTAACATCCAGAGGATGTGAGGTACACAGATTATGGTTTAAAAACAGAAAGCTCTACCCCCCGGTGATTGTGTGGGTCACATGAGGGACATTTAAAAGGTCTAAGAGGTAAAGTATCAACCACTTACAGGCGTCATGGGTGGTAAAGCAAACAACGACAGGTCAGGAGTAACTCTCATTTGTTGTCTTGCTGTAGTGAACATTGCTTTCCATGCAGACTAATCCTCTCTCATCCCAAAGGAGAACTCCGGGCTTGCCTTGAACAGCAGCACCAACAGAATGTATCAGATGAACTCAGAAAAGCAGTATCAGCCACATGTACCTGTGCCAACATGTCCTACACCTGTTCACCAGCAGAGCAGCCTCAGCCAACAAGCATCTCGTAAGCATGTCTGACAAGCAACTTTTACTTTCACGATTGATTCACCTGTTTCTCCCACTACACCCACAACTTCTTCTTTGTTTCTTTTTATTTCAGTTAAATATCAACTATGGCATTTTACAATAGCTTTGCAATGCAGCTTTTTTTTTAGAGGAAAACTAGAAAACCAAACAAACAAATAATAAACCAACAAGGTACAAACATAAAGGAACAACAATCCATGTGAAGCAGAGAACCAGGGGGGTTACGATACAACATCAGCCCTTTACCTTCTTTGTGGGTTTCAATCAATCAAACCGTTGTTTGTATAGCACCAGTTCATAAAAAGTGTCATCTCGAGGCGCTTCACAAAAGAGCTGGTAAATTACCATTCTCATTGTTAAGAAAAATGGGATAGGGGGATACAAATAAATGCATGCAGTGCAATATTTTTTCATATTGCTATAGGTAACCATTTGTTCACCTTCACCTTTAAGTCACTGCTGAAAATGACCTGATCGCACGATGATTATCCTTTGTGCCACCTGACAATGTTAGCAGTGACAGGAAATAATTAGATATTTAGTTCAAATTTATAAGTCAACATTCTCTAATTGAAGTCAAAGTAATACATGTTTGTAGTAGTAATAATAATAGTGCTAATCATAGTCAGTACCTATGACTGACATATTTTTTTCACCTTTTCTTTAATGTTCTGAAGTTTCTAACACTAAAAATGTCCCCGATATGGTCGACAAATGTTTATCTTATCTAAAAACTTCTGCAACAACTTCTACACTCATTGTCATAACCACAGATACTTTCACATGTGGAATAAGTCACTTAAATTGAAGCTTGGTGTTACACCCCACAATAAGGTGGCCCTATGGGACTAACAACAACCCACAAATAGACCCAATAAAACACATTGTACACCTTACCAAAGTCCAAACCAATGGATTTATGAACAGACAGACTAAATGATTAAACAAAGATCAACTCAAACTTTAAAAGACAACACACAATCCCTGGCTGAGAGGCACAGCAGTCCCAACTCCAAAAGACTATAAAAACATAATGTACAAACTCTGATTTATTTGTGTATTTGAAAACATTTGACCTGACACATGAATCACTTGTTATATTGAGACACCTCTGAGTTACTACCATGTGCCAGTATTACTTTTTTTTATTTGACTGCCCAACCTTTGATCTTTTACTTGGCTTTTTGTTTTGTGCTGTCTTTTGTATTAGTGGAGTCTTTTCATGGAAGTCCTGTTAACTTCCTGTCATCATGGGGGACACAGAACATGCTGTCTGTGGACCTGACTGGCACACAAGTGTCACAGCTTGTGACAGGTAACACTGAGTAATAATAAGAAGACTTTAGTAATACTGTTCCAGCTGTATCATACTATTACTGATACATTCACTATGTGCATTAAAAAACATAAGAAATATAACTATTGTGATAATCACAACCAGGCTGTGTTACGACCAGTGAGTTTCGGACCCAGATGCAGGACACATAAACAGAGGGGTTGATTGGTAATGAGGTTTATTGCGGCAAATGGAGATGAAGATGGGTTGAAGATTCCAGAAGTTAGCAGAGTGAAGGGGACGAAGGCTGACCAGACCTAAGTAGGGGTGTGAGTGTGGCTGAGCAGTTCTGAGTCCAGAGAGCAGGTTGAGGCAGATGGCTGAGCAGGAAGGCAGGTGGGTGATTTGTGATCCTGAAGCAAAGGAAAAACAAACAGGGTGAGACTCAAAAAACCAAAACAAGCACAAAAAGATTAATTCCAAAGGTTCTTTTCACAAGCTTAATTTTGCCAGCACCATAGTCTACCGCAGTAGTTGAAACAACGATCTGGCGATGAGGGGATGGAGAGCCGGGTATATATACTGCTGAGTTGATGAGGAGATGGAGAGCTGGTGTGCAGGTTAGAGCAGGTGAAAGGAATGAACCCCAATCAGGAGGGAGCCAGAGTGAGAGGGCCATGACAGGCTGTAAAAAAACAAACATGCTACATCTACCATTTTCACCTGCCCAGCTTCATTACCTCCAGGAGGTCGTGTTGGGACACAAGACCTGCAGTGGATGGCCTTGACACAAACAGCACAGCCTCCTCCAGGAGCATCTGGGTACAACGGGGGGGCCATGGCTAACCCCCAGAAGACGGGTAAGCCAACATCACCGCTACACCTAAGGTTATTAGGCTGAGTGGCAAACAAGTGTTTAACACAAGAACACAAGAACAGTGATTAAGACTTAAACCCATCAGGGAAATGTTTGCTGAGGAAACATCTTACAGACTTTTATACAATCATGACTTCTTTTTGAAACAAGGAGGGCAGTCCACCTTGAATTCTCTGTCTATCTTCATTAAAGTAAAATCCCAAGAGAGTGAGCGATGATGTTCTGAATGTGAGCTCTGCTGTGATTCAGTCTGAAAATAGTCAGATTACATGGTCACTAACTGTTGTATAAACCTAACAGGATGTATCATTTCTATATGAAATATAGCATAGGGTGACATTTTACCAACATGGTTTGTCCTGTTGAAGGTATATTAGCAATATTTTTAACATTGATGTAGCAGAAATCAAATAAATCCTACCATCATTGTGGAGTAATGACTTTCTAAAAACGAGAGTGAAGTCAAACTCCTCCTGGGTTTGTGGTCCTGAGCTCTGAGTTCACACTGATGGGTGGGGATTCCTTCAGCTGTTTAAGAGTCACTCAGATGCTCAAACATGTTTCATGTGAACCTCTCCCTCTCTAACCATTAGCCCTGCCACCATTTGGAGGAGGAAGAGTTGCGCCGCCGGCCACTCATCAATGTTGGCAGAGGCACAATGGCAGAGTGTCGTCGCAGAGTGCAACTCAAGGTGAGCCATCGGACTTCCCAAAACCTAAGAAACAAAACTGGTAAAAATAGAGATGCACTGTTCCACTTTTTTTCAGTTCCGATCCGATACATACCATATGAATACGATACTGATAATTTAATATCATAACTAATAGTGTTGTTGTTTTTGTTAGTTTTATGTGTGAGCAGGAAGCAGCAACAGCTGTCAGGTTTTCAATTTAAATGTTTTAAACTGAAGTGGAAGAAGAAAGAAGGAGCAGTCGAGGATAGTCATGATGGAGATGATTTGTGGGCATTTCTAAGAGAGACCGTGGGAGCTGAGAAGTGCCCAACTTAGAGGTGGGCGATATGGGAAAAATATCATTCAATTTATTTTTTTTGGCAAAATCCTGATCACAATTTTATCACAATTTTTTTCATACTGATCTTAAGACTATTTTGCAAGTTACTGACCAGTTCAACCAAACTTATTTCTCTGTATGATGTTTATAAATGCACAAAAACTGTGCAGACAAGTTTAATCTATTTGAAAAACATCTTTGTAGGAGGTCTGGAGGTCTCACACCCAGAACATCTTTAGCAACAGAAATGTCTTTCCCTCAATTTAATCAATATTTATGAACAATTTTAAGGTTTTACTCACCACTTTGAAATTATGATTTAGTTATGTGCCTCTTTTTATGTTCACCAGGAACATTTTCACGCAGTGATGCATTTATTTAAAAACATGTAGACTTCAAGTGTTTCTGTTTTATTTAGCCCTGCAGAGTTCCTACAGCTGTAGCTTCATACAGGCTCTGTAGCTTTGTTGTTTTTTTATGACATCATTGGACTAACTTTAGTTTAGTTTATATATAATCAAACATAATACAGAATGTGTTCATTCTGTGACACATGATCAAAGTAAGTTTTACTGACAGAAGAGTTTAATTCATAGAGGGGGCGGGACATTGTTGACTGACAGACAGACAGTCACCATGGTTACTCACTCTCACCTGGCTGCTGCTTTGTAACGTCGTTTAGCCTAATCCCTATAGGTTCCGTTATCACAATAGGTGAGCTTCGGGTGGAGAGGCTTGTTAGTAACTTTGAAAAACTGAGCAAGAGCAGAAAACACCGCCAGCAACATTTTAAACACGGGGTTATAATCTCTCATCACTGTCTGTCTGAGGTCCTCTCTGTCTGACTCTCTGCAGACTGTGAACGTCTCTACAGCTCGTTAAATGGTTTCTTGTGTCGCTATCCGAGATGTAAACTTAACTGTGCAAACTATGTAGATAAGTTAATTGTTGCTCACGCCGTGTCGGTTTGGAAAAATATCACAACAGTTGCATATAACCAAGATGGAGTTGTTTTTGCGGACTTTAGGCTACTTTTAAGTTTTCGTTTTCGTTTTCACCGCTGCGGAGCAGAAAGGGAGGGGGAGATGCGTTTGTGTCAGAGAGAATAAACTGCAGCATGATAGAATATACACATTAGCCCGATTCTACGATCTTTCTGCTTTGGCAGATCGTCAGCACATTAAAATCCTTCACGATCTAAGATCGTTATATCGCCCACCACTAGCCCAACTATCTTTATTGATCGCCGACATGGATCGACGACGTCAGTACAATATCGGATCCGGTACACATATAAGATCGTATCGGTCCTATCTCTAGTCGAAAAAAGTCAAAGAAATAAGAACTGAATCTTTGGGTTGCGTATCAGAATGGAGATGAGTCTCCATCTCTCTGGTTGCATGCTAACCGCTAAAAAAAAGTATTTTTTCTACTTGTAGAACATGATGTTTTTTTACCCAGATGTCTTGATCAGCAAAGGATGTAAATGTGTCCTTTGTCACTGTTTCACTCTCCCCTCATATGCTCCCAAATGATCTTGTTGGTCAGTTTTCTGAAAATCAGCTCAAAGCATTACCACTATGGAAAGTATGATGTGTCATTTCAGAGCAATCAAAGTAAATGCAATTAAAATGTGAATCCTACTCCCACTCAACAACAAACAGGACTTCATCATCACAGGACTGAGTGTTCTGTTTAACTCCTTGGTGCCTGCAGAGGGAGCCAGCTCCCACAGTTGAGAGTTTAACATGAATCAGAAAAGGGGATAATTGTTTTCTGTCTGGCAATGACAACAGATACATCCAAATTGCAATTTGCATACCAGAGGCACATTGGTGTGGAGGATGCTATCATCTTCCTGACCCACAAAGCCCTGTCACACCTGGAGACGAAGGGAAGCACTGTGAGAGTCATGTTCTTTGACTTCTCCAGTGCTTTCAATACCATCCAGCCCTGCCTCCTGAGGGACCAAACTGCTGGATATGCAGCTGCGCCCTGACATCTCAGCCTGGATCTTCAACTACCTCACGGGCCGGCCACAGTATGTCAGAGTCGATGGCTGTGTCTCTGATGTAGTGACGGGCAACACAGGAGTACCTCAAGGAACTGTTCTGCCGCCTTTTCTCTTCACTCTCTTCACATCAGACTTCAGGTTTAACTCTGGTTCCTGCCACCTCCAAAAGTTTTCAGACGACTCCTCCATTGTTGGGTGCATCACTGATGATGACGAGAAGGAGTACAGAGGACTCTTAGAGAGCTTCGTCACATGGTGTGAAAGCAACCACCTGAAGCTCAACATCAGCAAAACAAAAGAGGGGGTAGTGGACTACCGGAAGAAGAAGAGGCCCCCTGCCCCAGTCATCATCCAGGGGGAGGAAGTGGAGAGGGTAGACTCATACAAGTACCTTGGGGTCCACATCAACAATAAACTGGACTGGTCTCACAACTCTGACGCCCTCTTCAGGAAGGGACAGAGCAGGATGTTCTTCCTGAGGAGACTCAGATCGTTCAGTGTCTGCAACAGACTCCTGAAGACCTTCTACCAGTCTGTGGTGGCCAGTGCCCTCTTTGCTGTAGCGTGCTGGTGGGGTGGTATCAAGACTGGTGAGGCAAACAGGCTGAACAAGCTGGTGAGGAAGACCCGCTCTGTAGTGGGTCTGGATCTGGACAGTTTGGAGACAGTGGGTGAGAGGAGGATGAAGGACAAAATCTTATCCATCCTGGATAACTCCTCTTACCCTCTACATGGTGAGCTGTGGCAGATGGGCCAACGCCTCATCCCACCCAGGTGCAAAACAGAGCGCTTCAGGCACTCCTTTGTGCCCACTGCCATCAGACTGTACAACAGCAGCCTATGACAACAATAACAGTCCACCCTTGACACTAAACTTCACCCCCATAAAACACTACCCACATGACCTGCTTCATTATTATCATTGTATTATTATTATTACTTAGTCAATATATATACTGTAAATTCTATATATTTTTTATTATATTATTATACTAGTCTATATTATATAATATATCATTATATTACACTATATTGTTCATATTGCACTATATTATATTATACTACATTATATTATATAACTGCACTCTGCATTACTGTGGTACAACACTGCCTCTCTTCTCTGCTGTTTACATTACTTGCTGCTATTTATTTATCATACCAAGTCACTTTAATCATCACTTGTCACTTTATCTTGTCATTCACTTCAAATACTGTTTCAATTCTCAATTCCCCCCAGTTAACTTCATCATTCATTTTTGTACTGTTATTTTTATTTATCTTATCTATTCTGTTTAATGTCTATTTGAGCTTTCTTGTCTGTGCTGCTGTAACGCCCGAATTTCCCCTCTGGGGATTAATAAAGTACTATCCTATCCTTTCCCAAATAAGTAACTTTTTCTTTATTTGATTGAGGTGTTCACATCAGTTACATTTCCATTAAGATATGATAGAAGGTCGTTGGAAGAGAAATGCAGGTCCATGTGTCTCCTCTCGTGTGGTAATGTGCTTTTGTTTCAAGAGAGACTGTTGTGAAACAAGCATGGAAGATACTTGTGTTGTTATTTCAGGCTAAACGGGTACAGTTTTAAGCATTATTCTAAAACAGTCCATTAATAGTAAGCTGCATTTTTCAGTGCTGCGCTCCAGCGGAGGAAAATTCCTCCTCCAAAGACAAACAGCAGAGCGCCTGACTCATAGCGCTGTGTCGAGGGAGAGAGCAAACCATACTTACTGTTGACATCAGGAGGCCAGTGATGTCATGCTGATGTCAATGCCTCTAATTGTAAATTGCACACAGCCTGGCTGTTGGCCGTGGTAACATATCAGTCAGAGGGAAGACTCAGGCGGAGAGAGTTGCTGTTGGAAAAGCCTGGGAATATATACAGTATGGCTGTCACTGGGGATGAGACAGAAACAGGTATGTGTGAGATTCATTCTTTACTGACCGATCTTTAGAGAAGATGCTTCAGCTGGAAAACTGATTAAGGGATATCTCTTAATATTGCTTGTGATCATTAATTGCAACAATCAACATGGGGACTCTTCAGGTAACTTAGGCTGAAATTTGAAAAACACCTGATTGTTTTGAACAGCTCGGTATACGTTATTATTGTTCTGAACTTTCCACAAACCCTTTATGAATATGCTCTATTTTTAAACCAAATAAAATCACAAGATGCCTGAAATCGTTGAAAAGGAGCGATGAGTTTATTTTTAATTTTTCTCAGTGAGCTGCAAAAACCTCCCAGTTAGAAACATTTTTATTGGGTTTGTTGCCTCTCCCTCCCTCCCTCCAGCTTCTCTTTCCCCTCTCTCTCTTCTCTCTCCCCCTCTACCTCTCTCTCTCTCTCCCTCCCACCCGCTCCCTCTCTCTCTCTTTCCCTCTCTCTCTTCTCTCTCCCCCTCTGCCTCGTATCTTCCGCTCTCTCCCCCCCTTTCTCCCTCCTCTCTGCCTTCCTCCCTCTCTCTCTCCACTATACGAAGTGCTTCAGCGCTCTGCCCACTCACAGCTCACAGCAGCAGTAGCTGACGTCGCTTCACTTTCCTGGAACGAGCCCCCAGCAGCTACATGTAAATTTGAATCAGCGAATGAGATGCGCGCTGACGTCAGTCGCCGGTCACGCTCTGATTATATGCCGTCCTTCTGCAATTCCAGCACATCACAGACTTAATCATCAGCGTGTTACATGATATGAGGGGCAGAGTGCTACTGGCATTAAGCAAACAATGAACAGAAGAAGCCGTAGATAAGAACGGCTCCAACTGTCGATGACTTTTCAATTCTTTACCAGGGTTACTCACACCTTTGATTAAAATAGAAAAGATGAAATTTCTCAGACTTGATCCATTTATTATTTATTTTCTTCAATTAAATAGGAATATAAATGGTAACTGTAAGCTTGTATATTTCTTTTCTGGTCTTTGGACTGCTCAAAGCTCCTGCAGGTCACACTTAACACATTCACACACTGATGGCAGAGGTTGCTATGGAAAGTGACCATCAGTAATAATTAATCCCATTCTTACACCGTTGACGAAGCAGTGGGAGTAAATTGGGGTTAAGTGTCTTGCCCAAGGACACATCAGACATGTTGCTGCAGGAGCTGGGAATCAAACTCCCAACTTTCCTGGTGGGGGAAAAAAGCATCTCAACCACTGATCCACAGCCGCCTCCATTCATTGACTTCCAGGTTGCATAGTAAACTAACTTTTTAGAAACAATTTCATTGGGTCTGTTACCCCTCTCTCTTTCTCTCCGTCCCTCTCTGCAGCATGTTCAGGATGTCTCCTGGCAATCAGTGTACGCATGATATTTCTTTAATGTGACCGACATGTTGTTTGGCGTCTCCTCAGGCACTGCGGGTGACATGACTGCCTGCCAGCTGCGTAACCCCAGCTCCAGCCTCCCTCAGGGGGTCGCAGGAGCCGGCCTCACAGCTCCCAGAAACCTAAAGCGGAAGCCTTACAGAAGAGGGAGCTCCGCTTGATGAAGAACAGGTAGACAGGAATGTTCACACCTTTCAGCTGCTGAGGATACACAACACCTACCTGCAGATAATCTCAGTTTATACAAGCTTCAGTAGATGTACTGGACTGATGTGCATGGAGGCTTGTATTTACATAAAAGGATTGGAGGTTTTTAAAACAGCTATGCAAAATTTCAGAAACCACTCTTATGACTCTATTATTCAGAGAGTTATTTGAGAGGATTGGTACCTCTCGTGTTCGTGCATACTGTAGTTATGAGGCTATAGCTAGTTTCCAATTAGCTTAGCTGCCATATTGCTTCAGACAAAAGTAAAATTATAGCTACAGATTCTTCTTTGCAGGCAAACATATCTGATTAAAGTATGCCACCTCTGCTTTTAATTAGAGGTCGGACAGTGTATAGTCAGAATGTGGGAGAGAGTGTGGGGAAAGGAGCCGCAGGTCAGAATTGAACCCGGTCCACCCGCTCGGAGGATTACAGCCTCTAAACATGGGGCGTGCGTGCTACACACATGGCTACCAGCCTTTCCTGACGAAAGATTTTCAACTTGAGCGCTCAGAGCGGCCGCACAAAAAAGGCAGAGCACTGCGCTTTTTCTCCAGGCGGCCGCTTTCTGCTGCGAATGCTCTCTGCTCATTGAAAACAATTTGAAAAAAGTTGCTGGTGTTGAAAAAACAAACACTAGGTGGACATGTGGCCTTAGACACTTTAATATGTAAACAGAAATAGGGCCTCAGTTTAAAATACAGTTTTTTTCCTTTAATCAGATTTGCGGATGTGATTTATTGTCCTCACACACATCAATCTGTCTCTCTTGGACACATGCACTGTGAAGTCTGTCTGCTCTGCAACACACTAACACCTTACAAACACAGAATGACGATGGGTGACGATAACTGCCTGCATGCAATCATGAGATCCTCAAGCCTGTTATCATACCACCACATGATTCTTCTCCGTCCAGTGATTTGGGTTTTTAGCTGCTAATTCCCAGCTTGTCTGCCTCGATATGATCTGCTCCGTAATGCCGGCTGGTTCGAGTGCTGTGTGTTTGTGAATGTGCTGTCTGTGTAAAGACTTCTTGTTGTGTTTGCTGTCAACAGCCGTGTGTCACTGCTGGCACTGACTCCTACTTTTCTTGTTTTTGCATGCTCCCTGTCCTCCCACATCACGATTTTACTACCATCAATTATCAGTCAATCCTCCTGGATGTGTTGCTTTGTTTTGATTGTTTGTCCCCCCCCCTGACCCAAAGGTATCTAATTTCACAAACATAATCATCATTCTCCAAACAATGCGTTCCCACATGACCTCACAAACCTCTTTTCTTTCTTGAGCTGCGAAACCTCCTTTCTACCTCTCCGTAAACTGATTCATGCATTGAATGAGTTCTCTGTTGTATCTGGGACTAAAGCCAGGATGTGAGAGGCTTCTTTCTTCATGGTTACTGTTGTTGTTGCTTCCAGGGAAGCCGCCCGGGAGTGTCGGAGAAAGAAGAAGGAATATGTCAAATGCCTTGAAAATCGCGTGGCTGTGCTCGAAAATCAAAACAAGACTCTGATTGAGGAGCTTAGAGCCCTAAAAAACGTCTATCGACACAAAGCCGAGTGATCCCTCTCACTAGAGGGGGAGCATATGGACTGTGTTTGGGGGTTGTCTTCTTGAGGACTCTTTTTCTTGACACACACAAAACCCTCCTTGTTCGTGCTGTTAAATGTGTTTCCACGGTGACGTTAGTGTTTCTTGCTGTGAATGATTCCTGCCCCACCACCAGCAAAAACATGAACCTTGTTTCAGGTCAGGGTTATTATCAGTGGGTGTCCTTTTCATCAGGAAGGCTGCCAGTGAATCCAGGATTAGGAAGAAGGAATATATGCACTACCTGGAGGACCGCCTCGCTGCACTGGAGATGGAGAACGCCACGCTGAAGGCACGGCTGCAGCTCTCCAACAACACCTGCCTGGATGAGTGAGGAAGGCTCCACCCACAACCGCTTTAACTGCACTTCTTTTACATTCCTTTATGATCCGGCTGAGAAATGTACTCTTTAAATTATTAAAATATTATATTAACTTAATGACTTTGTGATCGTCTGTTTTGATGTGTTTAAGAAAATGTTGTAAGAAACCAAATGTTCACGAGGAATCAGGAATCCGTCTTCAAGCACACAACCAGGAAAAAATCCCCTGTATTTATCACCCGTCTTTCTTTGTATTTAAAGTAGACGTCTATCTATTGTGCTCCAGTATGAGTATCAGTCTGCTTCTAACGTGTGGCATTCATATTTATTTGTGCAAGTTTATCCGTTATTTGTTTTGGTTTTAAATCCCTCTCTCACGTTGGTACAGAAAAAAATGGGAGAAGTGTGCAAAAAGGGGGAATATATCGTAGAAATTCTGACTGGATGATGATCCTGATCCTAGCTGCACTGAAAGCTCTTGTTTTGGACACTAAAAGTTTCACTTTGTTTCCTATGTGTCTCACAACATCATAAAAAAGTGATCCCTACAAAGTAAGACTTATTTCAGTTTCTTTTTTTTTCTTTTTTTGTAAGATTTATCTTTGAGCTTTTGTGCCTTTTAATGGAGAGATAGGACAGAGGCGGAAATCAGGGAGAGAGAGGGGATTGAACTGGGAAAGGAGCCACAGGTTGGATTTGACCCTCCATATATGGGACGCGCGCAGTAACCACTGCCCCACCAGTGCCCCTACTTATTTCAGTTTCTTAAGCAGAAACAGAATTGCATTGCACTCCTCAAAACCGCCAGATTCATGGTTTTATGATACAAGAAGTAATTTTAGCTTTCAAGACCTGACTTGTTACATTGTTTGTGTTATAGTGTAATTATTCTGTGTTAAAGTAAGAATGTGCGATTGTGTTTCAATTTAAATACAATGTGAAGTTACAAGCTAACTAAAGAGTGTTAACATTAGCATGCTAACACAATAATGCAGGACACAGGCAACTGCAATTGGAACAAAGGACAACTTTGTGCGCCGCTTGGGTTTGACTCCTTTCAGCGAACTCAAGGAGAGGGGAGTCTGAGGTGTGTCTCTGGAGGTGTGGCCAAACAGCAGTTTGTATTGGTTTCATACTGGTGCTCAAGGGCGACATCTACTAGATCAAAAAGTCACACATTCTTCCTTTAAAATGTTAGTCAAAGGCTTTTTATGTGATTTTTCACTCTTAAATATAATATAAATCAAGTATATCCTCTGAAAATAACTCTGTGAGTCATGACTGTCTACAATGGGTGTAACACCCGAGTCCCACTGTCTGTGATGTTTTCAGAGTTTTCAGAGTCCTATCTTCACTTTGTTTACATCGCCTGGACGGCCGGCTGACTCCTCCCCTCACGTATAAAAGTTGTTTAATTGAGGGACTAGAGAAAAGAAGAATAACATACTGTACTCACTGCTTAACTGTGTTTCTAGAACACCCTCATTTCAGGTAAGTTAACATGCAGTGTGAAGATATTAGCATAATAAAGATCGCTAGCATTAGCATGCTAACACAACAATGCACCGCAAGTTGTTTTGGTTTCATGCTTGTGCTCAAGGGCGACATCTGCTGGATCTAAAAATCACATGAAGCCTTTAAGCTCTGATACATTATATGTGCAACACACAATAACTATAAACAAAAAATATGGTAGACAAGCAATCCCCACGTTCTGCAACTTTAAATAACTTCCTGTCAATTCACTCTGGTGGCTTTGAAAATAGCAAAATAGCAGTTTGCTCTTTAACAAAACAGCTCTGTCTCTGCAGGGATAATTTCTGTAATGTTGTCTAACACTTCACATATCTCTAAGCCTGTCCATGGCACAAATAACAACTTTAAGAAGATTTGGTGTATAAACACCTGAGTACTGCATTCTCAAGAAATTAAAAAAAAATACCAGATTTCCCCTTTAAAATTAAACACTTTTGTGCAAATCTACTTTTACTCCCTGTTTTAACTTGACTGCTGTTTGAGTCCCCACAGTGTGAACGCTGCAGTGATTTAAATGACTGTAAGTACGAATGTTGTCAAATGACTCTCAGTTGATGTTTTTGTTCTCATAAAAGTCCTCAGCTGTTGTCAGGTTATGATCTAAAGGTCTCATTGACATTGTTTAAACTGTGTTTGTTTCAATAAAGGTCTTGTTTAGTCTTTCTGTTTAAACACCCCATAAATATATGAGTAATAAAAACATAGAGGGAGCAGTTGTAAAGTTGTAAAGCAAGTGAGTCACAGCGCACCACGAACACAAGAGGTCCGCTCTGAGTGTTTAAAGCTTTCATCGGCATGCTCAACCTTGAGTTTCTGCACGGCACGTTATGTGGTGTCCTTCCAGGGATGCCTTGAATTAATTGCTTTGACTGTCACAGTGAATGCAATCTTTTTTTCAATCATTTGTCGCCTTGTGCAGCGTGTGGGTATGTCGTGAAAGAGGCGACAGAACAAGCTGAGAGATAAAGCACTAAAACATTTTGTGTCCATAACTGACTTGCAAATGGAACGTACATGTGCTAAGAGAAAGCAATTATTGGCTGGTTTGATTTCTATTTTTTTGACCTGTCAGACACAATTGGTGCATGGTAAATGGTAAATGGACTTGAGCTTGTATATTTATTTTCTAGTCTTCTGACTACTCAAAGATCTTTTACACCACAGGTCACACCTACACATTCACACACTGATGGTAGAGACTGCTGAGTGAAGAGTCCATCAGCAGTAACTAATTTAATTCATACACATTCACAAGCAGAGGGAGCAACTTGGGGTTAAGTGTCTTGCCCAAGGACACATTGCTGCAGGAGCTGGGGATCGAAGCCCCCATCTTTAGAGACAGTTGACTCTACCAACTGAGCCACAGCCAACCCCAATTGAATTCTCAAATACTCTAGACTTTGTTGCAGTAAAGGGAGACTTTTCATGCAACTGAAAAGGCAACATTCAAATGAGCAGGTTGGCTTCGTTATGATGCACCTGTCGCTCCTCTCGTGCAATATTTGAGGAAACAAATCAACCGAGGACAGTATCCAATACCAGTGAGACTTAACCTGCACCTGGACATCTTGTTAACACCTTAATCCTGCCTGCAGCTGAGAAACAAAACGCTATGAAGGCACCTTAAGGGAACAGGAATCACCTGAATGTAGCAGACTTGTAACAGATGGAATAATTAAGAAAAAGTAAGAGCAGAGCATCAGTGACTGTGACAGCTGCAAAGCATCCTCAAGCAGGCTGTCATGTGGAGCCTTCTTTATGTAATGCAGCTGCAGTACCAGCAGGTGGCACTGCAGCACCATGCCCATCCCTGATCACGTCAACCAATGTAATCATACTAAAAGCCAATCCCTTCTAAAATAATAATCCAGACCTTTTTGCAACATCAGTAATCTTTGACATCATCCTGTGCGTATTGTCCCACATGTCAAAAGTTCCTCTCTAAGGATCAGGATCTCCCTCAGGACTTCTCTTTGTTTATGTTAACCTCTGCTAATCCCATCTTAATCCTACATAGAGATTTACAATGAACAACCATGTGTCGGACTAAGCAAAGCTTGAATGCATGTGTTTAGTCATCAGTCAAGATCAAATTAGTGAACTGTTGCACAACATATGTGCACAACAGAAGTGACAGTTCATATTTTGCACAATCTCATGACCCAGCCCACCCAGAGATACTCAGCATTGATGTTCACCCACCTGTTCAAGCAAGAACAAGTTGCTTTATTTTATTATTCTTAGTTTATAGTTATCATAGGCCTTTTGGCTGCAGGTAAAAATGGATGAAATTAAACTTATCGTTGATAAACTTCAAGATCCAGATTATATCCCTAAGGGGGTCTTTACTTTTTAATTCCACATTTTTAAAATATTATCATCTGAAGTATTGTCATAGTTGTCCATGTAAAACAGATTTGTAGCCACCTACTTGAACCGGAACCTTTTCATAACAACCACAGCGCTGTAGGGGTTTTTTTAAAGAGACGTTCACGTGCTGCGTCCAAATGTTGTAATTTACATTACCGTAGATGCACAACGCATCCCCTGTAATTTACTGAAGGGAGCAAAAAAAATATGGATGCATTATTTTAAAACGAGTACATGAAGAACAATGCTGCTTTTTGTTGTTGTAACAATCGGAGGAAGAGGAACATGGCTGTGGAACAAACGACCATCATCTGATATTAAAAAATGTTACATAGTTCAAGGTTTTTAAGACACAAGTAAAGCAGCATTGACTGGCTTTCCTTATAAAATCCTTGTTTAACTGCTTGTCCTTATTTTCCTGTCTTGTTTTATTGAATTAAAAAATTCTGTATCAATATAGCATCACTATGTCTGCATTTCTTTAAGTCTAATGCTTCTGTTTTAATCTGAAAAGACAAGGACAGGGACTGCAAGTAAGCCGGCTACACCTGTTGTCATGGCATCTATTTGTATTTTACATACAATGCTCATTACATGTGTGCCTGTTAAATAACATCAACCTATGCACACCGCATTAATGTCAAAACTATCTACCTCATGTAAATTAACCCACCTGTCAACTAATTACATCATTTATTACCATGTTTGTTGCAGCATCTTTGCACTCATCTTCTCTTTTACACATTATTCTTAATTTGTTTGATTATTTATTGTTCATGTTTAATGTTACACTTTTGTACAGAGAGAGCTAAATCTACCTTAGTCAAATACATTATATATGTAAGCATACCTGGCCAATAAAGCTGATTCTGATTCTGAAATAAACGAATAAAAAAATAAAAGGAATATTCCCCCTAAAATTGTGTTTGCATTTATCATTCCCCTCCCCAAATGACATTGTTGTGTATGATAATTGTGTGTCCGGACTCGTCGATTGAATAAATACCCTTTTTTCTTTTTTTTTTTTTAATCTTCGTCGTCACCAGTATTTTCCGAGGATCACCTGAACGCCACACGACAGCGGATGTAGCAGCAGCAGCAGCAGTCGATTCTACAGTTTATCGGCAACCATGTAGCTCTGCCAGCCTTTCTATCTCCCCCTGACGAGGTGAAGTATCATGTCTTCACATTTATCCATGTTGCAATAAAGTAGTGTCAAAATGTGTGCGTGAGGAGAAGCGGAAATTACAAGACGAAGGAGTCGAAACAGACGCCTGTAAAATATCTGCCCTCCTGGACGTTTTGAAGGGACACTGGAGATTTAAGAGCCTTTGTGGTCGTTTCATCTGCCTCTGAAATGACTACATTTGGACGGGTACGTGCATAAGTCAGGTGAAAAGGTGTGTAAAGGAGACCGGGGGGTTCGTGTTTTCACCGCCGGGGCTGCCTGGTTTATCCGCGTTACCGCCCCGTTTTTTCTCCTCTGTATCGTCACAGCACGGGAAGACAGACAGGAGAAGACTGGAGATACCGTGCTGTGTGTGGATTATAACCAAGACCAGTTTACACCATGGGGAATACAACCTCCTGCTGCGTGTCCTCCAGCCCCAAACACCGGAGGAACAACCACTCCAGGCTCGAACCCTACCGGCCGGAGCCGGAGCTGAGCCGGGAGGACACGGGCTGCAACCTCCAGCACATCAGCGACAGAGAAAATCTAGACGGTAAGATGCAGTGAACAGACAAACACATTCCCAAATGTATTAGTAATATAGGGTGTCGCAAGAGCTGGAGTCAGTGGGTTATTAACAGATAATGAGAGCTTGCAACATCTGTGCAGCGGACCCACCCACCCATTACACCAATAACTACAGTGCTGCTGTGGCTTCCCTTTCAATAGACCTCCAGCATGTTGGACATCAGCCATACGTAGAGGTGGAAAATGCACTGTGATGCATTCATACAAGGCTTACAAATACGCTGCATGTTTGATTATTAATGCATTATTCTTTATTTTACAACCATTAACTAAAGCATTCACCTTTAATAGTCTCACTATGACTGATTGATGACATGAAGTAAACAAAGTTCTGCACATGAAATAAGATCGTAGTTTGCTTTGGTCACACCAGTATTAGAAGAAAAAGCATAATAAGACAGGTATTCATGAACTGCAATGTCCTTCATTTACCATTAATAATCAGTTAATACTGACAGTTAATGCAAATACATCAAACATGTCTACAAATTACTTTGTACCTCCAGCTGAAATTACAGTAACCAAGTGCAGGCGGCTGTGGATCAGTGGTCAAGTCAGTCGTCTCTCAACCTAAAGGTCCAGGGTTCAATCCCACATGATGCAGCTACATGTCCTTAGGCAAGACTCTTAACCCTGAATTGCTCTTCCTGCTTTGTCAGAAATGTGTGTGAATGTGTATGAATGAATGAGTTAATACTGATGGACTCTTTACTCAGCAGCCTCTACCATCAGTGTGTGAATGTGTGACCTGTGGTGTGAAAGCACTTTGAGTACTTGTGTGTTGTTACTTTCTGCACTAGTACAGCAGACTCCTTAAAATAAAGATTTAGGTGTTTAAAGGCGATTCTGCTGCAGGAACATATCAGCCCTTTCTGTCTGCCATTTGTGTGTCCAATGGAAGAAAACCCTGACTTATATGAATCCTCCATGTTGGGCGGCCTCGCACAAATGTTGTCAGTTATCGGTCAGTGCTCTACAGCTCTTAAGAAAAGTGTGAATCCCAACCTGCTAGATCTGAATGTCTTCTTATTCCTACCAAGAAGTCCAGAAGGCTGACCGGGTGCATCTGCTGTCTTGCGTCATCTGCACCATGTGCCAGCGTGTGAACGGGTGTGTAAGGTGGGGACAGCATGTCTGAAGGGCGGGTGTGAATTTGTGTTGCTGTGGGAGGTGATGTGATAATGGTGAACAGTGTGGGGTGTCCATTCATTTCAACAGTGAGCTGACAGGAAATGACCAGTCTCACATTCAATGCTCATTAACACCCGCTCAGTCAGTCATACTCTACTGTATGCTGTGGAGGAAATGTGCCCACAGGGCCCAGCGTGGGGGGGGGGGTCGCCCTGATAAATGTGAGCAGCAGAAAATAATAATGACACCCTGATCTGTTTCCTAGCGTAATGATGAATCCTTTTTTTTTTTTTAAAGGCAACAGTTCTTAATTCTCTGTAGCACAGTTTATATTTCATCCGTGTCTAATGAAGTCTAAAGTCTTTAAGGAATCAAATTCTGTGTCATTGCCACAAAAGGATAGACAGCCCACGCAGCGATCAGGAAATCGGAAAGAGGTAGAGCGAAGGAAGACAGGGAAGGAAATCCCCGGAGCATGCAACTATACTGCAAGGAAACAAGCCTCTAGGAAATGTGCGGTTATTAGAAAGCATAAAAAACATAAGCAACAATGTGACTCACAGAGGATGTTGAATTTTTTATTATTATGCCGAGTTCTCTTCCCATTCCATAAAGTTTCAAAATCCTTGTTACTTCCTGTAACAACACCAAGACTGTAGCAACCTACACAGTGAAAATGGGGAGTTTTGAACAGTCACTGGACAAGAAGTCAGACTGAGCATCGACACAAAGCTGTGATTGTACCTCTTAGAATGTGTGTGTGTGTGTTTAGGAAAAGAAAGGAGAGAGTAAGAACTGGTTTTCACTGTTTGTCTTCCTAATCTGTTTACACACGTTTTTAGTTCAGGACCTTTTGACCCCGTCACTGGACCTCTAATGACATTCCTCAGTCTAAAGACCTCTACGAAGCTGAGTGCCCCACCAGACTCTAGAGTCGCCCCTGTACATGGGGTGGGTGCACTAACCACTATGCTACTGGCGCCCCACAACATGATGCTTCTGATTACACCTGATGTGTTTTTTCTCAAATTGCCTCATTGACGTTATGACGTTAAAGGAGCTTCTGCTTTGACTCAACATCCTCCATCATCTTGTTGGCAAATGTCCTTATTCCAACACATATGAGCAGGCCCAACAGCAGAATGTGTTGGGCCTGTGTTGGGCCTGCTTTCAGGGCCCTCCCAGAACGTCATTTAATTTTATCAAAGTATGTACATTCGATCAGTAGTGTTAGTGCTAGCATCCAGGCTAACATTAGCTCCGTCTGCTCGACTCCCATCAGCCTTTGAAACCGACTGAAGTAAGTGTGTCGGAATTTAATTTTAGTAGAGCTGTAATGATATCTCAGGATACAATTAAATAACATAAATATCGGACAATTCAAAAAATATTGCAATCCGTTTTTCTTGTATAAAAAACACTGAAGGAGGTCTTGTTCAGTGTTGAACGTTTCTCACTGCAGGGGCATTTCTTATTCATAGCTTACAGTCACCTGACTGATGCGGAGGGCAAAAAGAGCCGAGGAAAGTGGCGGCCATCACTGAAACACTCCATCAAAACAACGCATGTCTACATAGCCTGCCAACTGCAAAAAATCTGAGACATTAAGATAAACTGCAAGGTTTGACCCTCATACAGCACAAGCAACACTATTTCAATAAATCAAGTCCTCAGCAGAGCTTTAAGTGATGTTTACCTTTATCTGATTAGTGCATAGCTTCATTCTGCATTTCTATTGGTTGGTTACTTTGATTAAAGAGGCATTCACATTGTGAGATGAGCACTAGGAAGCCATCCTTGCCCCCCAGGTGGGCGTTTCCATCAGTGTGAGACGGGCGGCTGTGGTTCAGTTGGTAGATTCGGTCGTCATTAAACCGGTAGGTTGGGGGTTTGATGCCCAGCTTCTGCAGCAACATGTCTGCTCTGTCCTTGGGTAAGACACTTAACCCAGAGTTGCTCCCGCTGCTTCATTGGCGGCGTATGAATTGTACAGAGTTGGCATTATATTAATGGTTTCGTGAACATGGAAGTGAGCAGGAGGACCTTGTGATGCAGGACGATTGAACGTCCCCCCACTCTCTCTCTCCCTGATGAACGTCCTTTGAGGCAGGAAACGATGCCTCGAAGGTTCACCTGCCCCCTGATCACTAGAAAGAGTGAAATATGATGGTGATCAAGCTCTTATGCTATATATCTGAACCACTAATGTGCTCTTGTTTGCACACAGGCCGGCTGTGTTGTGTGTTTATGTGTGTGCATGTGTGTGTGTGACCCTCTGTTGAGCATGTGATCATGAAGAAATCAGCCAAGAGAACTGCTGACAGTGATGACACACTGCTCTGTGTGCACAAACAGAACACACAGAGCTCATTGAACAGCCTCCTTACAACTATCAGAGGGCTTTTTTTTTTTTTTTTTACGGGCCCTTTCACCAATCAGCAGAGCAATCTGATTCGCCTGAGCAGTCTCTCGCTCTCAACAGCGGCCCGGTGTGTTTTCATCGTAACTCGACCAACAATCGGAGATAAAGAGGCTGGAGATCCACGCTCCTCCTGACAGCTAATTTATCTCTGTTTGGGTGTATTTGTGCTCACTCTGTCATGCTCTGTAGGTCACACCTCACAGCACTCTACACTCTCACACAGGCCTGTCAGGGTCAAGCCCATCACTCGTCTGTGACTGCGATAAAGACACGTCGACTACAGTGGATAAACACGTCCAAACGGTAGTTTAGTTTTTATGGCTGCTATCAACAAAATGTGAAGTGATTGATCCACAGGAGGAGGAATTCACTGGTGGTGAAATAGTCCCACTCTGCAGCTGGTGGCTCCTGTGTACGTGTGGTCAAGGCCATGTTGCTCAACATGAGTAGGTTAAAGTCATTTTGTACTCCTCCTCCTGAGGTGTAAAGTGTGTGGGCTTAGATTTCTGTGCAGTTTATATCTCGTCATCCAGTGATATTCAACAAAAATAAGAGCATGAAAGTGAAGTGATGCCGAGACGCCAAGACTAGTTTTATAGGCTTAGTTCACACATGTACAGTTTAGTTATAATGTGTGTCTTCCATATTGAATTATGCTGCAGGACTGTGAAGTTTATAAGACTACAAAAATGTATATCCTGTACAGAATAGGACTACACAATGCTTTTTAGGGTCCAATGTTGTTGGATAAATCCATAACGTGGCTGCAGGGCCACAGGGGGCATTCATTCCTGCATATTTCCAAACCCTCCAAACTCAAAGATATCTTTAGTGTAATGTGATCAGATGACCTTGTAGAGGTGTTTCTTCTTCACAGCTGCTCTAAGTGAAGGTAAACCTAAACCTCCGATCACGCCTCGCTCTCTGTCAATGAGAGGAAACATGGAACAGATGGACGTCTCACTCTGTTTGGGTTTTACTTAACATAGACATCTGTAAATGAGCAATGGCTTCAGGCCCCGCTGTGTCTCATCACTGTGAAAGTTAGTTATTTCTGCAGCACACACACCACACACACACACACACACACACACAAACACACACACATATTGATGAGTCTCGCTCGTAGGCTAATTGAAATCTGGACGTGGATTATTCATGCCTGGTTGATGAGCCTGGGGAGTCTCCTAACTAGGATTTGCAGACGGGTTGACCTAGATGTTCAGGGTATGATCCCATTTATTTGACTTTTGCTGAGATGAAGAATGTCTGTATTGTGGATTTTCTATGTGCTGTGAAAAGATGCACCCATCTAGGGGTGTCTGGTAGCTCACCTGAAAGACTGAGTTCTTATTTCAGCGGGCTGGGATCAATCCCACCAGAGCTGTTTGCTGTCCCCCCTCCCTTTCTCT